AATTAAATCCCTCCAATCAGCTGTTAGGGAGCAAAAGACTATGGTTCCAATGACAGAAAATGCTGATGGTAGTGTCGGAGATGGAAGCTCTGGAGGTACTGGACACCACCCTTCAAGATGACAGTTAAACCACTACCGGGAACACACATGCTACTCTGAGAAGCCAGTAGTCGCATCTCATGCTCAGTTGAGAGCAGAGGCATTCAACCGCCCACGTAGACCATGAAAGTTTTAAAAAAAAAAAAAAGGCCCAAATTTCTCACAAACGTGGCGCCCTCGGTGAGAACATGAGCTCAGCTTGATGGCAGCAGCAGAGCAGCCCAGCTCGGCAGCAGCAGAGCAGCCCAGCTCGGCAGCAGCACAACGGTCCAGCTCGGCAGCAACCAAACGGTCCAGCTCGGCAGCGCCAAAGCCCAAAGCAGCGCACCAGCTCGGCAGCAGCACAACAGCCTAGCTCGACAGCAACCAAACGGTCAGTCCAGCTCGGCAGCGGCAAAGCTCAAAGCAGTGCACCAGCTCGGCAGAAGCAAGGAAACAAGAGCCTATGGTTCCACTAACAGAAGAAGACTAAGCAGCTATGGCCTAGCTGACTACGGCTGGCCTCCATTACTCAAGCTCGACAATGAGGAGCTGCAAGCATCTTGCTTGAGCACGAGCTGCGAAATGCTGGAGCACGAGCTGCTACAAATGTCTTGCTCGAGCACGAGCTACGAATTGCAGAAGTCCAAGTTACAAATTGCACAAGTCCGAGGTGCGAGATGCTGCAACACGAGCTGGGAATTGCAGGAGCATGAGAAGCGAACTGCAAGAACATGAGCTGCGAGCTGCTGAGTTCAAAAGCATGAGCTACCGAGCTCAAACACAAGCTGCAGAGGTTGAGCACGAAGTGCAGGGGTTGAGAATGAGCTACAAAGCTCAAACACAAGCTACATAGCTCAACCACGAACTGTAGAGGTCAAACACTCATTACCGAGGTCAGCCACGAGCTGCAGAGGCCGAGCATGAAGTGCAGAACTTGAACACGAGGTGCAGAAGTCGAGCATGAGCTGAAAGATATGCAGCACGGGCTGCAAGGTGTCAACACCCTCAACAAGGTGCCGACACTTTTCCTACATTCGTCCTGGAGAGTCCGTGTCGGGTTTTTGTCCTTCTCTGCAAATTTTGTTAACGGTAAAATTACAGTCTCGACCCCTTACTTTTAGATTCTGCATAATTTAATTCTCAAATTTCATACCTTTGCAATTTATTC